TGGGTCTCCAGTGGGGAGAGAGCCGCCCTCCAACAGAGTTTGTGAAATCTTTCGGAGGGGCCACCTTTCCTTTTACCAGGGGCATGAGATCCTCACAAATAGAACCATTCTGCCCTGGCTGCTCTGCAGCCACTATTTCCCCATTATCATTAATGGAAGCCTGTTTTATCCTTTAGCTACTTCTGAAATGCAGATGCAGTTAAGGACCATTAGGCTAGTTACTGATCTTAAGTAGAACCCAGGTCAATGGGGCAGAGGAGGCACTGCCTCTAATTCTTCACTTAGAATTTTTAGCTTCAAATATTTCTTATTTTCCTTATTTCACTCCCTATACCACCCTAATCCTATTTCCAACACCTATTTTCAGACCTAGTTGAAAGGGAATCTGATTAGCATGAAGTTAAAAGAGTCAGTATGTAATTGGAATTTTCTCTCTGATGTAATCAGAATAACAGAAAGATCTTAACCAGCATCCTGAAGAGAAAGAGGTTAGCTACACTACTAGGCTTTATTAATTTTTCTTATTTATATTTTTGGCCAGGATCATATGCTGACTGATGAATCTATTTTGAGAGATCTTTAAAATTTAGGTAAACTCTAGGCACAGGGACGATATATTATATTCATAGAGTTCTACTAATTTCAATAAACTTGAGGCAAGTATGTACCTTCATTGTTCTGGAAACTTCTACCAATGTGTGTGTGTGTGTGTGGGGGGTATGAACTGGATTTCAAGTGGGTTTCCCTGCCATATAAAATTTTATTGTAATGTTGTTTAGTCATTTAATTTTCATTCACTAGATTTCAAGTATGGTTGAAACAGACAGACATCTCTAGTACTTTATCCTTAACAGTGTCCTAGTAGGTCACCATTTATCACTGTAAAAATTGTTCCTAAAACCCACTTTCCATCTCCAGTTACAGCATTGTTCTTTTTTCCCTGCATATTTTCTATCTGCCTCTCCCATTGCACGTTCAAATGATTTATGTGATTGCTACTCAGTCTTTCCTGGGATTGTTGCAATTTTTGGAAGTTATTTCTGTTCAATCTGTCATGTAAAAATTGCGTAGAATAGTCCAATCTCACTGATTTGAATCAAATTGGAGCCAGCAAAACCGAGTCGTTTCAGCAGCTTGGGTGCTGGTGAACAGGGCACTGGTGAATGGGCTGAGTTGGTGATCTTGTCATGACAAATATCAAATAGCCTGGGAGGAGGAAAGAGGGCACAATGTGCTTTAATATTCCAGTCCCCACTGTGTGCTGGCACCTACGTGTGTGTTCCAATGATACTGTGCTTGATCCACCCAAAGAATAATGCTAATTAAAAAGATTCACATATAGTTCCAATTAATTAAATACATAGTGCTTGCCATATAGTTGGCATTCCATAAATTATGGCTAGATGAACAAATGAATGAATGATTCTTTGCCTACATCCTACCAATTGCCTCTATATATGTGTTTAGCCCATCTGATCACAGCACAGTATTCAGGGGCCACAGTTCAGGTTGTATTTTAACATAAGCCCTTTTGCTTGGCTTTGTTCTCTGACTGGCTGTTCTTGTAACCTGCTGCTCTGCATGGATATCCTGTTTGTTAGCTGCAGGAGGAGGCTAGAGAAGGGTGTGAACATAAGAGAAAATCCATGAGTATGATTGCAAAATCTAAGTCAAGATAAACCTCTTCTGTTTATATTTGGAGTTACTAATCCCGTAAAGTCAGGAGAATTGTAAGCAGATATATAAACATGCAACAGTGGGTAGAGGCTTCTAGGTTGTTGAGATGTACATTTAGTTGCCTGGTAGAAAAACTGATTATACAAAGAAATCATTCTTGTCATAACTAACTAAAATAGAGACAAGGGAGCTCAGGGGAAATGTTCAGAACACAAATACCAGCTAGTCAAATGCAAAGAAAGGACTTGGTAAGTCTAGCTTTTCCTCTACCTGACAATGAAACTGCCTGCTGTGATTTTGAAACTAGCTTTACGTAACAGCAGCTGCTGCTACTCCCCAGTTGGAGCCAGCCAACTTCTGCAAAGGGTGTAAATGTCAATAAGCTTCTTTTGAATACAACTTACATATTTTTTTTTCTCTTTTTTGATAAAACTTCTGGCTTTCTTTTGTTCTTTGGACTTCCTAGAGGCCATTTTGGTTTATGCATGTGTTCTGGGTTGCAATCCTATTGTTCCCATTTCCCAATAAGACTTTTTATATTTGGAGCATCCTTACTATATTTTTAATTGACTTTAATATTAGAATAAAGCATATTTAAAATAGAACTGAAAAAAAATTAAAAGATGAGCGAGGTCAAAGTTCACATTGATAAAAATCGAACTTTCACTTGTTGATCTTCACCATATCTGTCAAAAGGAAAATATGGACCAACAAAGCTCAGGAAAGTGACCCATGACAGAGAGGCAGCCTGAAGAAATGTGGGTGGTGAGACCAGGTACTAACTCATGTGAGTCCTGGCATATCTAAACAGAGGGAAGCAAAGCCCTTCCCTTTCTCTGAGGGAATGATACAATGTATCAAGGGTTTCATTCCTCCTTTTATTATTCTCTTAGACCCTTTTTGTAATTTAGAAAACAGAACCCAAACTGTTTTTACCTTTTAAGCGGATTTTTCCTTATAAGATGGGAAACTTATGGAAGGTAAATTTGAGTGTCTGGAAAGATTTTAGAAGAGAGAAAGAAAAAAGAAAAACTTCATCATTCATTTCTTTGGCAAAAGTTTTTGAGATTGACTATATATCAGGAAATGTGCAAGTTGATGGAGAGTCAGGGATGAACATCATGTGGGAAGATCTGTCCAAAAAAATTGCCCCAATCATTATATAATTTCAATGTGCTAATATAGTGTGGATTGAATGGAATCAATGGTGTTCTCTTTTTTGCATTATATGTATACTCAGAAAAATGAGAAAATATATCCCACCTATGCATTATATATCAAAGTATATAAGTGTATTCTACTGTCATGTATAACTAACTGAAACAAATAAAAAATTAAAAAGAAGAATAGAGTCAATGGATTATTAAGATAGCCAAGAGTGAGGAGATATATTTTCTTTCTTTAAAATTTTTTTAGTTGTAGTTGGACAGAATGCCTTTGTTTTATTTGTTTATTCTTACACGGTACTGAGGATTGAACCCAGTGCTATGGGTTCAACTCCTATGTGCTAGGCAAGCTCTCTGTCACTGAGCTACAGCCCCAGAGCTGGACATCTTTTCTAATTAAGTGGAGGTGAGATTATCCTGGGGGAAGTGATCTTTAATCTGAACCCTAAGGCCAATCCCAGATGTGGAAGTGATTGGTGGAATGAAGGGGAGTCAGGGAGGATGGAGAAGTAATTATTGCAGTGTTGGTATTTGGAAGGACCATTCTTGATAGAGCAGGTGAGACAAGCTGAGTTCAAAGGTGAGCAGATCTCTAGAGAGTCATAGGAAGAAGAGAGGGGGAGGTTGGTAGGAAAAGGGCTGATATATCTGATCATGTAAAGGAATTTGCATCTCCTTCTGAGGATGATGGGAAGTCTGACATATTTCAAGCTGTGGAGTGGGGCCCTCAGATCTGCATATGGCAAAATGCATTTTGCAATCTGAACAGTGGCACAGAGAGAGCCAGGGAGAGGTGGCATGGGCAGAGAAGGACAGAAAAAGAGAGCAGGATGCACATTTCAGAGGTAAAATGGATAGGACTTACAATTGAATGTGTGAGCTAAAGGAGAGGGGAAGGGTCAAGTTCTATGTTTCCAGCAGAAGTAACTAGGTGGGTTGAGAGATGTTGGAAGAGGAACAGGTTTGAGGGGAGTGGCAGTAATGGCACCTCAATAGGCAGTTGATGACATGGCTCTGTTGTTCTGAAGATGGCCAGTACCTGTGGGAATGGCTGGAATCTGCAGGGAAAGAGAATAGATTCGAAAGCTAAGGGGACTAAGGACCAGCCAAGAAGTGTCTCCTAGAAGAAGACAGCTTCTCAAAGCATGGAGAAGGAACAGACTGGGAGAAGCAAGCTTTCTTTTTCAAGAAAGAGAGGGTAATCAGATGAAGACAAGTCCCATCACATAGACCCTGAAATGTCTTTTAAATGTAACAACATGGAGATCATTAGCCAATGTAAGCCAGTGGCGCTGTTGAGACAGAAGTCAGAATAGAGTGGACAGGAAGAGATTTGTGGTGGGGAGAGAAAAGGATGTAGGGAAAAGTCTTTCAGGATGAGCAACTAAGGGAAAGAGCTGTACCTGGAGGAGACACAGGATTCAGGTGGCTTGCTCTCTCTCTCCCTCAAGAAGAAAACTGTAATATTGTGAATACTGACTGAAGAATAAAGTCGAGAAGGGGTTCTAGGTCAAGAAGGAAATGTGCATAACCCATCCAGGGAGGTAAAGTGGAGCACAGGGAGAGATGGTACCCAGAGCACAGGAAGAGAATTTGGTTAAATTTCAAACTGGAGGATTTACGAAATAGGTATTTCAGACCATTGACCTAGGTGGAGAAATAACATCAGAATGCTCAAGTGGTTCTTTTAAGAATTTGCAACCACAATCAATTAGTTAGGAATTATAGTATATCAGATATAAATCCTAAAGGTCTGATCCCCTCCCTTACACTGGGTCGCTCTTAAACATGCTACACTAAACCAAATCAATTTAAGTGGAGTTCCTGGCCTAATTTATAATCCCCCACAACTTACATCTTTTGGTTTTGAAATAGTGCATTTTGAACACACATTTCTTTAAATAGAAAATAATGCACTGAAAAAGGTGAAATTAATTGCAAAGAATCCTTATTAAATGAATTCGCTGTTAGGCCAAGAGACCAGCTTTTACCCAGCTGCTCCCAGCCTGCTCTCCTGTGTCTGTTTCTTGTTTCTACCTTTCCCTGTTGCTTTCTTGTTCCTTTAGCACCCGGCACAATATGGGGCTCTCAGGAGGTATTCCTTAATATTGGCATTTCTAACTGCTTCTCTGCTGCTGCAGTCTTTGATGGCTCTTCCTTCTTGAGGTTTGCAGCAGGTTCTTGTTTTTTTGTTTGTTCCTTTCCTTTGTCAAAATCACTGAAACTCCAAATTGGAGACCAAAGGAATCTCTGACAAAGTGCTCTCGCCCGCTTACTGTGTTCTTTTCTGCAACCACACACAGAAACATACCTCTGTGTTTCAGGAAGGATTTCGCCCTGTACATCAAGGACTCAGGGAAGAAAGGAGGCCCTGTTGGATTTGCCATAATGTTCTGTTGCATCCTCTGTGTACATGTAACTCTGATTCAGTCATGGAATCTCAAGACTTTCATGTTGAAAAGGATCTTCGAGACCATTTCATCTCCCTGTCAGCCTGGACCACACTCTGTTGTATGGACAAGAAAACTTACAGGGGTTCAGCTTGTGGCCGGAGAGCCCATTCCATGAATTGGAGACCTCAGAGAGTTGTGTGATCATGGCACACCAAGGACATATAGGAGGAGGTGAGGAGTTTGCCTGCCCGTCCTGTTGGCAGGGTGTCCTGTATGTGTTATGGCTTATGAAGTTGTTGTTCAGAATCAAATGAACTGGACAGAACTTTTCTATGTTCGTATATGAATACATGACCAAGGAAACCCCACATCATGTACGGAAACAAGAATGGGATCCTAATTTAGAACAAGTTATACTCCATGTAGGTATAATACGTAAAAACATACTCTACTGGCATGTATATCTAAAAAGAACAAATTCTAAAAATCCTTAATTAAAAAAAAATGAATGAGATCTTTGGATTAATGAAAAGTGCCAGGTTATCATCAGAGTAAAGTCTAGATCCCAGTATAATCTCCCTACCTTCTGTTTAGAATTAAAATATTCTAGAAAGGTGGGTGAAATAGTGCCAGGGAGTGTGGTAATAAATTTCTGATGTGTGGGATGCAGTTGGTGAGAGCACTCCTTCATTTGGTCTTGGACTTTGGGGAGTAAGGGAGAGGAAGGACAAGTTAAATAAGCTTTTGTTATTCCGTGGCTCTGTTGATAAAGGTACCATCAAATATGTTTAAAAGCATATTTTCTGAAACAAAACCTCTGGAAGTTTTTTTTTTAACACTCTTGAACTGTGAAAAAGTCCTCTTCTCCTCCACTTTGTGTTTTCCTTTTGCCTTTGGCAGAATCAAATCCATGGTAACCGATTTTGTATCAGAAATACTCACTACCATAAGCTGCTGCGGAGATGCAACTTGAAAGAATAGTTTCTCAATTAACTCAGAACAAGGATCAAGGTAATATTTCTATCCTCATTTTTACTTGTTTTGCCCTTGAACCTCATTTTCTGTGAAGATTTATGTGCCTTAGACCTTGTAAATAGTCCCAAGACTAATAGGGTCTTTATTAAATATAATTCTATCATACTCAGTAATCATTTTCATTTATAACATGTCTGTAGATATATTAGGATTTTCTTTTTATATGCAGTCAATTTACCTAAGATCACAAAATGTTACTCCATATCCAAAAGCTGAAAGCCAAAGCCTTTGGCTTGTAGCCCCAACGATTTAAGTGAAGATGCCTTTCGTACTTTCTCATGTTTTCTTCTGTCAACTGACTGCTTTCATATATTACAGTTTTCATGACCTATGGAGAAGCATGTCCATCTCTCTCTCTCTGTTTTTGTACTACATGACTAGAAGTTACTAGTGTAATCAAGATGGACATCATCTAGGGTCACCTGGAATGATCTGATGTTCCATCAAGACAGAGACAGGGTATGTGGAATGGAAAGAGGGTAAGGTTTGAGGTCCTACAGCCTCAGGCTGTACCCACACTCCATGCCTAGTCCCTTTGGGACTGTGGACAAGAAACATACTTGCTCTGAACCTCAGGTTTCTTCTTCAGAACACCAAGATAATTAGACCTGTTATAAAGGCAGATTGAAGGATTGCAGGAGATAGAGCTCCTAACTCTGGTAGGTGCTCACCAGTATTAGACACTCATAGTGTATCTATCTTCTAGCTTTTTGGTTTTGGTAGAACTTTCTCAATGAGTGTGGAGAACACTCATCTCAATATTTGGGTATTTCCTGATTATCCCAAAGGATCTCAGGATGACAGCTGTAGAAGCTGTGGTCACTTGCTCATGTGGTCGTGAAAGGGCATGCAGATGGGGCAAGGGAAGAGAGGTGTAAGGTAGACAACCAGAGGGACTTGTTGCCACAGGCGGCTTCGTCCCTAGGCCTTTGTGGGTAGTTAGTGACATGAAGGTCTGGGCTGAAGGACATAATTATTTGCATTAACGTACCTATATCCTTCCAGTAAAACAACTCTTAATACATCAGCATTTTGTAGAGGGACTTTAGAGAGGCTGAACAACTTGCCCAAGGTCATACAATAAACCAGAGCTTCAATCCAGTTCTATCTGATTCCAGAATTCAGAGCTAAAAATGCTCAAGGGAGGGAAAGGGAGTCAGGATGACACACCAATTCACAAAAGGAAGGTTGCTGGGAGAGCGAAGGAATTAGTCTATCTTTCACCTGCATGTGCATATGGATTGAGCAGTTAATCCAGAAGTAGGTGGTCCTTAAGCCTGGGCTGTGGGAAGGGCAGGGAACATTAGGACAGAGTCACAGTACAGTTCTTTGTCTCACCTGGGAAGTTGAACCATCAGGGGGCAATTAAATTGATTCAGCACTTAACAACTAATGTAGTAAGAATACAGACAAATGCAACTCCAGCTTCAACTGCATCAACCAGAACAGCTTCAGGGAAACCTGCCACTGAACAGGGACTTCGCTTTATCTTGGAGAATGCAGAATTGTTTCAGCCGAGGGTGCTCTTTGGGGGTAGCCCAGACATGTTTCCAAAAATGCTGAGTCAGGCAGGCCATGGCCTGAGCACCGGGCCCAGAGAAACCTGGTGTGGGTGGGAGGGGATGGAGCCCCGTCAGAACTGGAAAGCCGGGTCCCCATGATGAAAGCTTTGAGGGCCTTTCTCAGCCTAGGCAAGAACAGGACAGGAACAAAACTGGGGATCATTTGTGTGGCAGGGCTGGATAAGAATCAGCAGAGTAATTAGCCGATTAGTAGTGGCTACAATTAGGAAATCACACCAGAAGAAATAAACAGCCGGCCCAGGAGAGAGGGTAGAAATGGAAAACGGGAGATCCTTCAAGAGAAGAGTCTAGAAGTAAACCTGGGATGCCTATTGTGTTTATTTCTCTTATTTAAAAGTTTCCAAACTTAGCCATGAGCAGACTGGAAGGCGAGAGTGAATGCACTCACTGGGGTCCCTGTGGGGTGACAGGTGGGTGGGGAGGTAGACTCATGGTTTCTCCTCAGGAGTGTCAGCATTTCAAGGATCCAAATTCCCACAAGGCCAGCAAGTGCTAGCAGCTGGTATTTCCCCGAAGCCTCCTGTACTTCGGATCTTAAGAGTGGATTTCCTTCTACTGACAAGGCTGCCCTTGCCTTTGTCCTCCATAAGGGCAACACTATAAAGAGGGGCAAGTTCCCCCTGTCTTGGTGTCCAGGCCCACATGTATCTGGTTGTACCTCAGCCTAAGCAAGCCCTTCCACTAGATACTGGTCTACGTCAAAGCACTGCTGACTATGAACCTGGACATTAAATTAGGTCATATGCCCATGAGACACACCTGGAGTACGAATGTTACCTGTGTCACATACAGGTCAAGCCACAGTACTGGAGTGTTGGCTTCTAGACCTAATTCTTTCAAGTAGATATGAGCTTGGGTAGGGCCACCTAAACTCCATCATTTATGAAATAAAGGATTGTATGATTCAACTAGTAAGATCTTTCTTGACACATGCAGTGTACCAATAGTAGCAAGTAAGGTGGTGTTCCTAATTTCTCATTCCCTGAATTTATGCAGCGCATAACGTTTGCTGAGTGTGTGCATGTAACCGTAATAGCTAATTTTCAGAGTATGTTACATGGACTGAATACATTGTTCATTTCAAATCTCTTTAACATACAACATTGCTACATTCATCAATCAAGTAATTTACCCTCTTTATACTGAGTGAAGAGTTGTTAATTTAAATATTCTCTTATACTTTGGTTAGTAGTTTGGCATGAAAACATTAACAAAAAATAATCAAACAAGGAAAAACATAGCTTGAGCCTGAGACCTTGATATATGACATGAAGTTTAAATATACTTAAAAGTATCTGAGCATGTTTTACTCTTCTAAAAACTATTAAGGGTGGTTTGACTCCTTGGTTATAAAAATTAGCAAGAATCCTTCCTCAAAGAACTGTGCAATTAATATCATTATTAAAACTTTCCCAGTTGCTTCTCTTTTTTACACATATCAACAGTAGTTATTGTTTAATATTTGACTTATTCTTTACTTTTTACTATGATCATCAAAGACCCAAATTTCATCTTAAAATTATGGTTACCAAGAATTGAAACTTTAAAAATCTAGATGACTTTAAATGATGATCTGTTTATTCCTTGAAAATTAATTTCTTGGCACTGTGCCTTTCAAATAAGTCATGTAGAATATCTTAGCTAATTTGAATATATTAAATTGGTTGTTAACTTTTTTATGTAAAAATAGGTTGGGCACACCCTTAGTAATGTCAATCCCTTAGAAAATTTGATGAAAAAAATTATAAGTTCAATTGTGTTCATAAAATTAAAGAGCTATAATTATGGCATTATCATAAATAAAATATGTGCATACAGCAAATATTAAATATTAAGATTCAAGAACTCTGCAACCAGGCTGTCATTCATAAGCCTGCAAGAACATGTGCACTTCATTAAAGTCAATGGAGTGTACCAGTTCATCTTGGCATTATTTATAATCGAAACATTTCAATTTTAGTTCACACACATACACACACAGACATACACACAAACTAATTTAAAAGTCAAATGAGGAAATTAGTTCTATGCTCTTATGTTCCAATTCCATGGTGATATCAACTAGCAAAATTTAGCCTCAGGAGGTATGGAAAAAAATATCTAATACAATGAATGGAAACCCTTTTTAAAGAATCACAGATCTGTTAAAACTAATGTTTTTGCAACCAACTCAACAAAAATATATATAGCATTGTAAAAGAGACTCCCAGTCTTCCCTGTTACCAAACGTCTGAGTTTATCTCTAGAGTTACCTCTGGATTTCAAAAGCAGTAAATCAAGAGCTAGATGATTTTGGGGAGAAATAGAGTCCATTTTTTTTTAAACAAAAGTTTTAAACAAATAATGGTTGATTTAAATTTTTTTTTTTTGCATACACATTATAAAGACTAGTAGGGAAAACTTTTTCTGGTTTACATCTATTAGATTTCTTGTAATCAACATTGTTAACAATATATTTTACTAGATTTGTCTTAACATTTATATTTTTCTTATTATTTGCTTTTCTAGTGCTTGCATTTTTTTTAAAGAGTTGCAGAAGACTATGCCTTTTTTTAAAGAGAGAGGGAGAGGGGGAGAGAGAGAGAGAGAGAGAGAGA